AAGCTATGATAAATATATAATGACCTTTTTAAGTGCTTTTTAAAATTTTTCTAGAGTTTCTAATTTATTTATTTTTGTATTGAGTAAGAGAACAGATTCCAATTCTCAAAACTTAAAACTCTAAAGGCTGTTAACATAAATGTTGTAACTTAAGAAATTATCCTTTTGAATGTCTTATCTGATTCCTTCCTTATATGTATAAATCTCTAATAATTCGAAATCTAGTCTTGGAATCAAAAACTCTGACCTGTACACCGAATCGAGCCCATGCTTGTTTTATATAGCCCATAAGCTGAATGTGGTTTTTTCCATTTTAAAATGATTATTTTAAAAATTAAGAGTATGCAACAGAGATAGTATGTAGTTGGCAAAGTCTGAAATATTTACTATTTGGCACTTTATGGAGAAAACTTGGTGACATGGCTATACTATAAATATATTTCTCATTTTATATGGTATAGCTAGATAAGTCAGCTGTGGGACTTAAAAATAATATATAGTTATGCTGGGCATTGTGGCACCCACCTGTAATCCCAGAGGCTCAGGAAGCTGAGGCAGGAGGATTACAAGTTCAAAGCAAGCCTCATCGACTTAGTAAGGCCTTCAGCAACTTGATGAGACCCTGTCTCTAAATAAAATATAAGGGGCTAGGGTTGTGGCTCAATGGTTAAGTGCCCCTGGGTTCAATCCCTGGTGACCAAAATATGTGTGGGTGTGTAGGTGCAGGTGCCCTTAACCTTGATGGTCTGATCTAATGGTCTTCCCCCCCACTTTCAAATGTACAACCTATATAGGTAAATTGTGTCAGAAAGTGGCATTATTAAAAATCAAGAGGTTTGGTTGCTGTTGATGGGATATATCTTTGTCTTGGCATCAGGGTAATTTTAATAAAGTAGAACTTCAGGGTTGAAAGAGATCTTTAAACGTTATCTTGTCCCCAAGTATTTTTTCCATTTCAGTTTTCCAAATAATCATTAGTGCTACATATGAATAAATAATGAACAAGGTCTTTATCCTTATGCATTTCAGTTTAGTAGATGGGAGGAGAGAGGTCAAAGATTGGGGGGGTGGGGGTGGGGGGGAATTGCAGTAGAACATAAAAGCTGTAAAACAGAGAGAAAGAATCCTGGAGCCAGTACAGTTTGGACTGTAAGGGCCAGAGATGGCCCTTATGCAGAATTTGTTTTCCTTTGTTGCCATTCTGTATTTTTAGCCAACATTTTAAATTTGGGGTTATCATCTGTAATATTTGTATGCAATGGGGGAAAATATTAGCATGTGATAAATATGTTGTAGTATCAGTTGGCTTATTTTAACTTATTTCTATAAATTCAACTCTGGCCTAAAAGAAGTGCATTAGGTAAGTAGACATTCCTCTTAAGTCTTTTATTGAGTATGAAGCACACTGGAACTAACCAAGGGTCTTCACTTCTTAACAGCTGTAAATTTTTGGCTCACTTAACTGCTAAGTACATTTCTCATTTTTAACTAGCTAAGCAATTTGGGTTTTGCTTTGGCTTTTTGTGGCTTTTGGGGTTTTTTTGTCTGTTGTTTTGTTTTTTTAAGCTGATGACATTATGTGTGAGTGCTGTACTACAAGTGTGATTGTAAACAACACTTTTTTATGTGCTTAGGGAATGATAGTGCTGAATAAAGGTAATCTGTGTCTATTCTTGTGGAGATAGTCAGATCTCCCTTTAAGCTTGAAGTGTAGTGGAGAAATAGGGAAATAACTATTGTTAAACAAATATTAAGTAGTTATTTTCTTTGCTGCCATGTGTTGTATTAACTCATCCTCAGAATTTCTTAGATATGACCATAGTTAATCAAATCCATGATGCCTGTAAGAAATTGTTATGTAGATTGTAAAGTGTACCCCAATGTCAGAGAGATGAAAATGATAAGAGGTGGTGCCATTATTATTTCCATGTTCACAGATAAGGAAACATGCAGATAAAGGGTGATTTGCCTGGGAATACAAAATTAGTGGTGGAGTCAGGGTTTGGACCAGATGATTTGATTGTAAACCCATATTCTTATTCACTGCTTGAGGATACTTTCCACATAGTTGGGATTAATGAATTTAAGCCAGGTATGTTGGGAATGTGGTGTAGTTACATTGATGGTATTGTGAAAGATTTAAAGAGATAATTTCTCAGCTGGATTTAGAAGTATGGGCAAGATTTTACTAAGTAGAGGAAAGGAACGAAAGTAGTACTTTGGAAAGTTTATGTAAAATTAAAGTGGACATGGTTTAACTTGCCTTCTCAATTTTCCCAGTTTTTTGTTTTGTTTTGTTTTTTTGTTTTTTTTTACTTCTAAATAATGAGGTCCATGTTTGCCTTAACTACAAAAACCTGTCCACTGTGTCCCAATACTGAGGTATGTTCTTTGAAATGTCTCCATTTTCCAAGTTACCCATACCTAATAGCTTATCTTCAGGGTAGGAGAAGGGATTCTAAACACCCATAGGACTTCAGCCACAATAAGAATTCATCAGCTACCCTACTACTCTGCATAAGATACTACATCCAAGGTTTAGTTGTTTCGCTCTTTCTCAAGTTAACACAAATCAACCTAAAAATATACTGAATTCCTACTTGAAGTTTGTCACAGAAAATTGGTTGAATGGTTATTGAAGATAAATGAAATCCAGAATGAATAACAATGAGATTCTGGTATTTTGGGGTCAGGTTATATCTACCATAATATATGAAAAGAGTATGATATATTGTGGTTAGTTAATACAAGTGTTCTTGAGAATGTCTGGGTGCTTTTTAAATTTTTATTCTGTAATCTGCCCTGCTTTTAAAGAACACTTAAAAACTTGAAGTTATTAGAAAAAAATACATTTGCATAATGAAAGAATTTCTCACTACAAAAGAAACCACTCATAAAAGTAATAATAACTAATTTGAGTGTTTCCTGTGTGCCGGGCACAATTAAGAATACTTTCCTGCATTAATGCATTTATCACTCATAAGACCATAGGTAATCTTGCTCTCTGAGTATATAAGGAAAATAGGACCCAGAGATATACTGGGGCTTGCCATTTGAAAGCAGGCCAGCTTGCCTCAAGAGCCCACACTATGAACTGTGTTTTGTATCTTTTCTATGGTAATTGTATAGTATGTTTTTTAGAAATTTTGTTACTAGGTAATAGGCTAGTTGTCCGCTTAGACTATAGAACATTGTTCTTTCTAAAAGATGGTGTTAAATATAGAAAGATGTAAAGGTTTATGTGTTTGTCAATAAAATGTTATGTAGATCACTGCAAATGTTTATTGCTTTGTCAATTTATTAACCATTATGAATTTATAGGTTTAAAAATGGCACCATATTATTTGTGACTGCTAAAATTTAAATGATAAAAGGCTCTGGATATTTTTTTTGGTTGGTTGGTTGGTCTTGTTTTTTGGTGCCAGGGATTGAACCCAGGGATGCTTAACCACGGAGCCACATCCCCAGCCCTTTTATATTATATTTAGAGATGGGGTCTCAATAAATTGTTGAGGCTGGCTCTGAACTCCTCCTGCCTCAGCTGGGATTACAGGCATGTTTCTTTTACCTACCGTCCAGATTTTATTAACCCTTGACTAAATAGTGATATAGTGATTATTTTATTCTGTGTATTAAGTGTGTCAACAGAATTTATGGACTTTTAGTATTTCCTCATGGAGCCTGATGTAGCTTGTGTGAACTAGGCGGACACCTAATAAAACTTTAAGATAATTATAGGAAAGATAAAACCATTAATTCTTGCCCCACAGTCCCTACTATTTGGAACATCAGAATTAGGAAGTAACAATGGCTTCTGAAGAGCAAAAATTCATGGTAAAGCTCATGTACTTGGAGAAAGATGTCAGCACCTTGATCTTGAGTGGATTTTTTTAGTAGCAACCAAACTAGATATGTTAGCTAGTTCCTAGCCAAGGGTACATCACTTAAGTAGTAGTGCAGGTAATATTAAGCTTATATAGATATGTACAATGATAGTATTGTAATTTGTTACAATAGACACTGTTACTTGTAAACGTGTAAACTTTTCTTTTAATATTTCTTGTAAACTTTGTTACAAGAAATAGACACTAAAATCCAATGAAATGCACAGAAATAGTCTGAGCTCAGACTAATTTTTCTGAAATAAATTGTTCTGTACACTTAAATCTGAAGGATGCAGTGTTTATATTTTTTAAAGGAAAAGATGATGTATAATTTAACTTGAATAAATATTCGAGGAACATTCTTCAAGTTATTGACAATTGTAGTATGTAGAGGTGATTTTAATTTATCTTAGGGCATTAGTTTATAGGAATGCTCTGCCTTTGAGAATGTTAACTAAATGAAGAATTAATGTTTTCTAATGTTTTCTAATTTCAGAGAAGCTGGTTGAGGCAAAATAACAATAAACTATAATTTTGTCATTTTAATCTCTTTAGATATGCATTTTGCTTCTGTTTAATCAGATATGGATATTTGAAAACACTTTGGAATCAGATCTATATTTGAATCTTGGCTCTTTATTAATGTGAACGTAGACAAGATAACCTCACACTGAGCCTATAGTTTTCTCATACAGTCGTAAATATTTATTGAGCAGTTGCTACTATATAGCAGGCACTATTTTAGGAATTAGAAATATATTGGTAGACAAAGGGAGGGGGGCCTTTTCATGGAACTTATAGTTGGAAGAGAGAGAAAGTAAATAAGAGATGATACTATATATTTTAGGATTTGAATTTTTTTCCCCAGGATTAAATAGGGGTTTTCTACCCATCCAGCAGAATAAATGTGGGCATCTTTTATTTTTTATAGCTGTTTTTTGATTTATACTTAGACTTATATTGGGATATAATTGTGTTCAGTGTATCAGTCATCTCTCAAAAATTGATAATTAATAATTTGTTGTAACCTAATGTTAATGTTTTCTAATATTGAGAGGCATAGAGGAATAGTAGTGAATCACATCAGTATATATACTTTGCTTTCCTTTCCAACAGCCACCAAAAAAGACCTCTAAAAAAGAAAAAGCGAAACAGAAAGGTACTCCTAAAAATAAAAAGTCTGTAAAGAGTGCAAATGTTAAGAAGGCAGATAGTAGTACCACCAAGAAGAATCAAAACAGTTCTAAAAAAGGTAAGTTAGAAATGACATTATTAGCAATTTTAAAGGTACAAAATATATTTTGTGCATAATATTTAAATGTGTGTGGAAAACAAGTAAACTGCAAAGAGGTTTTTTAAAACTTAAAAAAAAAATTCAAAATCAACATGAAATTTTAATGCATGTTTTCTAAGTAGCTTATTGTGGTAAATTGTAATTTTTATTAAAAATTAAAATTTTAAGTTGGTGATTTATAATTTGGGGGTCCAGTACTCCCTTGCATTCTGAAAGCTTATAAAATTCTTCCAGCCTTGCCTTAAATATTAAATTACTTTTCAATTCATATTTAATTATCTTACATTTAGAAAGTGAATCTGAGGATAGTTCAGATGATGAACCTTTAATTAAAAAGTTGAAGAAACCACCTACAGATGAAGAGATAAAAGAAACAGTGAAGAAATTATTGGCCAATGCCAACTTGGAGGAAGTCACAATGAAGCAGATTTGCAAAGAGGTAATAGACAAATGTTTTAATCCTTGTTTTTTTTTTGTTTTTTTTTTTTGCCTTAAAATTTTCTTTCACCTATTCCTTAATCTGAAGCTACATTCCTTTGTGCATTTATTCTTTGGATAAGTATTTAAAGTCAGAGTAAACGAAATTTGGATGATATGTTTCAAACTGCATAGGAAACTTTCCAGATTTGGAAATTGTCAGTATATTCTTAGATTGTGTTAGTTTTAAAAAACAATCTACTAGGCACCTTATTCTCTTGATAGTATAGTAAATGAGCTGTTAAAGATTAGGTTCTTACACTTCTGTGAAGTTCTTCTAAGATTTCACAGAAAATAAACATTGTAGCCTTGAGTGTGATTTCATAGGGATTCCATATCCTAGATCTAAATTGGGAGACTTTATAGTCGTCGATGTTTTTATGGCAATATGAAATCCAAACTTTGAAATGTACCAAAGGTAAAATATCCCATACTTTTTAAGAAAACAGATTATTGGTGTATTCCTATTGAACCATTCAACATATCAGGCACAACGCTAGATGTTAGAGATGGAGCAGAGAATCCATTATTTGCCTTTAAATAGTGCTTGTGGTTCGGTGGGATAGACAAGTATTCCAGTAAGAGTGCTGTATGTGAGGGCCATATTAAAACAGTACTGAAGAAGCTGCAGCACCACAGAACCAACTTACTACTTAGGATTGAGGGAAGGAGTTTGGAAGAGTCTAAAAAAGCATCTGGAAGAATTTTTAACTAAGTTCTTTGTAGAGTATCAGCTTTTCCGTACAGTTGAGGAACAACAACTAAAACACTCTGGCAGATCTTATATATGCCTTATTACTAAATTTGGGGGGTTTTGGTGGTGGGGGGAGTGTTGTGTTTTTGGTCTGGGTTTTTTTTTTTTTTTTCCTTCTTACCCCAGGGATTAAACCCAGGAGTGCTAAGACACATCCCCAACTCCCCCCATTATTTAAATTAAAAAAAAAAATTAGGGTCTCACTAACTTGCTTAATGCCTCAATGTATTGCTGAGATTGGCTTTGAACTTGGCAATCCTCCTGCCTCAGTTTTCTGAGCCGCTAGGATTATAGGGTTGTGCCACCACTTGAAACTAGTGGGGAACCACCATTTGACCCTGCTATTGCCCTTCTCGGACTATTCCCTGAAGACCTTAAAAGAGCATGCTACAGGGATGCTGCCATATCCATGTTTATAGCAGCACAATTCACAATAGCTAGACTGTGGAACCAACCCCGATGCCCTTCAATAGATGAATGGATTAAAAAAATGTGGCATCTATACACAATGGAGTACTATGCAGCAATAAAAAATGACAAAATCATAGAATTTGCAGGGAAATGGATGGCACTAGAGCAGATTATGCTTAGTGAAGCTAGTCAATCCCTAAAAAACAAATACCAAATGTCTTTGATATAATGAGAGCAACTATGAACAGAGCAGGGAGGAAGAGCAGGAAGAAAAGACTAACATTAAATAGAGACATGAGATGGGAGGGAAAGGGAGAGAAAAGGGAAATTGCATGGAAATGAAGGGAGACCCTCATTGCTATACAAAATTACATATAAGAGGTTGTGAGGGGAATGGGAAAATAAACAAGGGGAGTAATGAATTACAATAGATGGGGTAGAGAGAGAAGATGGGAGGGGAGGGGAGGGGGGATAGTAGGGGATAGGAAAGGTAGCAGAATACAACAATTACTAATTGGGCATTATGTAAAATTGTGGATGTGTAACGACGTGATTCTGCAATCTGCATTTGGGGTAAAATTGGGAGTTCATAACCCACTTCAATCTAATGTATGAAATATGATATGTCAAGAGCTTTGTAATGTTATGAATAACCAATAAAAAAATGTTGCTTTAAAAAAAAAAGAATAAATGAAACAAATTCATGTACAAAAAAAAAAACTAGTGGGGAATCAGGATGCTGGATAGATTACTGAGAAATATTTGTCAAGGGCATAAAGAAATCATTTTATTTTTTAAAGTTATCCCAAGGAAATCATGAAGGAAGCCTGACAAAGGATGAGACAGTCAGGAAACCCAGTTTTATATCACAATCAGAACAACAGGTGTTGCTCACTGGTAGCTTGCCTAGCATGCTCAAGGCCACAACAAATCAACGGGGTTGCTATAATCCAGGTCAGAAGAGAGCCTCATCAGAGATTGCTTCATTGGGGTATAAGAGCTTAGATAGCATTCTCAGAATAGAAAATAGAACAGGAAGAATATTCTAGAAGAATATGTGGGGGTTTTTGTTTTGTTTTTAGATATTTTGAGTTGGAGTGCTTAGTATAACTAAGTGTACAAAATTAAGAATGTTGTGATTCTCCATTTTAGGAAAGAAATCTAGACCAGGATATTGCTAATAGTTAACCAGGAATATAAATAAGGTAGCCAAGGGAAGATAAAGGGTAAGAAAAGTAAAACAGTCCTAACAACCACCAACACAGAGTTGAGAAGTAATTTCTATAAAATATAAGAAAATAGAGTAGAAGAAAGGTCAGGGGAACGGGGCTAGGAAAGTCAAGAGACGGAGTTTCAAGAAAGAGGTAGCACCAAGGAAAAAAAACAGAATAGATTTGCAAATATACAAAAGCACTTATCCTTCTACTCAGGGAAATAAAAATTGGAAGGAAATATTTTTACTTATTAGATTGAAGAAAATTAGTTTTCACTGTAACAACTTTTTTAGAAGACACTTAGGTAGCATCTTAAAATTTAAATTGCAAATACCCTTTAACCCAGCAATTTCATTCCTAGGTCTGTGTCCTAAAGACATAGTTACATATGTACAAAAATGTTTACAATAATGTTAATTGTATTTATTAATGCCTATAATACTGAAAAATCAGAAATGGCCATCAGTAGAGAAATGTTTAAACTGGTACATCCATATTGTTTGGACTACTGTGTAGCAATTCAGAATAACATGGAAGAACCTTCCAAGTAATGTTAAATTTTTTAAAATATAGAATACCATACAGAAAAACTATATTGCTATTTATATGTGTTTGAGTGTCCCAAACTAAATGAGGGCAGAGTGCAGAAGAATTTGAAGAGAGATTAGATAGGCCATTTGAAAGATTTCTGTCAATTTGTGCGTTTTTTAAAAGGCATATTAATAACAAGGAGAGGTTGGGAAAGAAAGACTTGGTATTTTTTTTTTTTAGACAGTAATTAGGAAATAATCATATAATAGTAAATTTGAGGATTAATAAAACGAATTTTATCATCTCAAGAATTAATTGGGAGGAACATGAATGAATTAAATGTTGTTTCAAGCAGCTTCAAGTTGGTGAGAAAATATTTCTAAAGGGACCAGAGAAGAGCCAGGGGACAAGTGCAGGGAAAAGAGAAGGTGGAGCTACATGGGAGCTGAGGGATAGATCCCCGCAGAGGTAAAGGAAATGGGAATCATTAAGAATGCAGGTAAAATGGATATGTCAGAAAGTTGACACGATAATAGCTTCTTGAGTAAAAGCAGTAAGGAGATGAAACTGCCAGTGTGGAGAATAAAGGGAGAACCTGACCTGAGACTAGCAGTTGCTAGAAGGCTAAAGCAGCCAGTCACTTCAAAGTTGTTAATAATTTTCCAAAGTAACCTCTGGCCTCAGCTAACCATAGAGAAATGGGTAGTTAGACCAATTCAGAGTTGTGGCTTACAGGGGAAGAACAAGGGACATGAGGGTAACTTAAATGATGGACTATATTTGCAAAGGTTGGTCAGCTACAGCCTATGAACTAAATCCATCATACCACTTGGTTTTCTTAATAGTTGGAGAAAGCTGAAATTATTTACATTATAATACTTTACCAAAAAAAGTTTCTGGCCCTGTACTGTAATAGAAATTAAGCAGAAGGATGCTTATAAGATTGTGAGCAATTGGTGTTGGGCTTAGAAGTCAAGTAGCAGGTATAATGGGACTGAGAAAGAAACTTGACAAATGAGATTGAAATTTAGTCATTTTTAGGAGTTGAGGACTGTTGAGACCTCTTGAATGTTAGTGAATTTACCGGGGAGAGGATTCAGTGGATTAGAGAGGCTGAAGCTCAAATTGTGGAATTATAGATAAAATGTTGGCTGATGTTAACAGAGAAGAAAGGATATATCAAAAGATGGTTCATAGAGACAGGCACTGTGATACACACCTGTAATCCCAGTTACTTGGGAGGCTAAGGCAGGAAACTCACAAGTTCAAGGCCAGCTTTAGCAGTTTATGAAGCCCTGTCTCAAAAAAATTTTAAAAAGATGAAGATCCAAGGAGGTAAACCAATGGTAAACCACCCCTAGGTTCAGTCCCCTGTACAGAAAAAAGAAAAAAGCAGTATTACAGATGATTAGTTAAAGAAGTTAACAGAAATGTTTTCTTAACCCATATTTAATGCCCATACTGCCAGTTTATAAAGCACTGAGAATGTCTGCATGTTCATTTTCTTTGTGTACCGTGTTCCAAAAGTGCTTATTTGCAATACAAATGAGTACTCTTCAAATATACATGCAGCTGTTTGTGCATAGTCAGAGACAGAATCTTGGATTTTAAATTCTTTAAATGTTTTTTTCCTTTTTGCTATAGGTATATGAAAATTATCCTGCTTATGATTTAACTGAGAGAAAAGACTTCATAAAAACCACTGTAAAAGAGGTAAATATTTTAGTCTTTTCATAGTTTGATCATTTGGGACATAGAAGACAAAATAAATATTGTATATTTTTCTAGCGTATTTTTATCATTAAATATCACATTTGATCCTCATTTATTCAAAATAGATGGGAATATATATTTAATAAAGTTTGAACAATTAGTGATAGAATCTGAACTCAGATTAGATGTGAATTCACAGTGTACCTAGTAGCGAGGCATCTCAAGAGTTGCTCAAAAAATGTCAGGGCAAATTCTTCTGGCTAGTACAGGGGAGATCCATAGTAGTTGCAGTTTTATGTTGACCCACCTGATTTTCCAAGGTCACAGTAATAAAACATGTTAAAAACAAAAATGGGGTCAAGTTTTATAATTTATGTATACTTAATATTCTGTGTTTGGGCAAGGTAAAATAATGTTTTTCTTTCATTACAGCTAATTTCTTGAGATACAGGACAGAGACAGATGACTTGTTCCCATAGATTTGAAGATCTGATTTATACCATTATACCAGCAAAGAGAATGTATTTCCTTTTCTAAATTCTCATTAAGGATTGTGTTGGTAGGACTTACTGCTGACCTTTTTTTTATCTTGAGTGTTACATAAATCAGTTTGCCGCTTTAAATTGCATTTCTATGCAGTTTTTAGTTTAAAATCTTGCATGGCAGTAATTGTTCCTTGCTTTTATAGTTGTACTTTGTACATTTTGGATTTCTTTATATAAGGTCATAGATTCCTGAACTGTTGTGGGTTTTAGTGCACTTAACATTAGACTGCTTAAGGCATATTTTAATCAAGTAGAACAAAACTATTATAGCCAGCATTTATACATGCAGAGACTTGCAGTATTTACTATATATTTTGAATACACATTTTCTTCTGTCAGTGTGAAAACTCAATGGCGGTGTGCTCATCTTTAACAAGCTACAGCTAGCCAAGTGACTAAATTGGAACTTTCTTCTGCATGTGTATATATGTCAAATTGTCAGCATGAGAGAAATGACAGATGTTATTTTTGTATTTTTAAAAAACCAATTTGTTGTATATAAAGTTTTTTTTATTTCTTTTGTGCAGATCAGTTTTTAAATTCAACATAGGTAGGGACCTTTATTTACACTTGTAAACTATGAAATGTCAGTGTTTGGCGAGATGGAGTGACAGACCAGGGGAAGTCAGAATTCAGTGATGGGAACGCTGAAGGAACTGTCTAGTTCTGCTATGCCTCCAAAGTGTCATCCAGCTATAGTTTGTGTTAACTCTGCAAAAGTGTCTGTGGACGCATTTTATATTAAGGACAGACCAAAATCAACACATCAAAACGTCAAAAACTTTGGGAAAGGGTGGGTTTGAGTACAAGGACATTTGGCTTATAGTAAATGAACTGATTTTATTAACTGATTTTGACCATATAAAATGCTGATATTTACAGGAAACCTGGCCACCTCCATAATTATGATAAAAGTATAAGGTGTAATGCCAGAAGATAATGTGTAGGTAATAGCAATTTCTCAAAAGTAATTTTTTAACATTAAAGAAATTTAATGTGGAATCAGGGCTCTTGGGTTTTAAATTTTGGCCAATCAAGATTCAAAGTGATCAACATGTGGACCACTCCTGGTCATATCCATGTCTCTTCCCCTGCCCCCACCACCCTGTACTGGGGATGGAACCCTGGGGTGCTCCAACACTGATTTATATCCTCAGCCCTTTTTGAGACAGGATGTTACCAAGTTGCCTAGACTGGTCTCAAACTTGTGATCCTCCTGCCTCAGCCTCCTAGTAGCTGGGATTATAGGCTTTCATCACTGTACCCAGCCCACTCCTGAATTATAAGACTAAATTTTGTCTTTTAAATTAATGGTCTTAATCAGTTTAAACATGCTGCCTATGACAGATATTTAATGTACCAATTGAAGTGTTTAAAAATCTTTGCATCATAGAAATGTATATATAAGTGATTTAACAGGTATTTTCACAGGTTAGTTTCTTGATAAAGTTAGGACTTTAGGGGAAAGCATACTTAATACGAGTGAATGGAATAAGCAACAAAGACCTAAAAATTGACCTTTGATTTTAAATATCTGTTCTTACAAACCTTGTCAATAAAAATAGTGATGTTTTAAGTCTCTTGAATTTGATGTTTTAACTTATGTGTTTACGTGTCATTTCCCCCTTATAGTAAGTTTTTAAATGGATTTAGCCCCATAACATAATTTGATGAGCACTACAGTTAACTATTTCATAACCCATTACTATAAAGGGGATAAGAATGTGCGCAGGTGAGGGGACTGAGGTGGGTGTGAGTTCTTGGTGATGAAATGCCCAGTTAGAGCATTTACCACTGCAACACAGACACAGAGCATATTTGAAAAAGTCTAGTTTTTATTAAGCAGTTTTACACAACCAGCTATTCGTGATCAGTAAGTTAAATTACTGTAAAAGTGTGTATTCGCTGCTACTCTTACAAAATCTTGGGACAACACTGAAAAACATTCAAAGTAACTCAATTAAAGAAAAGTACCATATCTCCTTAAAGAACAAAATGTCAAAATATAGGTCATTTAAGACAAAGTTATTTTAAATACACATTTACCATCTTTTAAGTAGGGTTTTTCCTACTTGTAGCACAGTAGCCTTAAGTGCTTAGAAACTAAAGTAATAATTTACTGTGAACCATTTCCAACATTTTGCATTTATCATCACTTAACATAATGCATGCCGTTTAAACATTTAAAACATAATACTTTAAAGCAGAATACCTCCTAATCAGTACCAATGAGTCTCAACTTAAACATCAATGTTTCCTAATTTTTGAAACATATAGCTCTTGGCTTTGTTTGTATCATACTTTGAGGAGGGGGTAGTGTGTATGTGTGTGTCTAAAGTTCACTGTACACTGTTTGAATGATATTCTTTGTTCTTACAAAGTGATTTTAAATTTGAAAAGTTCCTAGTATTTTTAAAAGTGGCTTTAAAAGGAGACCAATATAATTCAAAGAGTAAGCTTATTTTCAACCTGTAAACTAAAGTTTCTTGACAAAATAGGTATCTTGAAGACCTTAAAAACCCATGTTTATTTATCAATTTAAGTGGAAAAAGTAAATACTTACCGTGTTGTAGGCTTTTATAAATGTAATATTTACCAGGATAACTCACAATTTTTGCAGTTTTCCAATGGACCTGCCTATGGAAAACTAAACATAATTATACAAAAATTTTGAATCTGTTTTATGATTCCTGAATCATAATACTGATAATAGTGATTGCCAAAATTAAGGATACTCCAGATTTTAATGTGTAGCGCTTTAAGAAAAATAGCTATATCCTGTGTCATGGTGTGAAGATCACACACTACACCCCATTCTAAATGGGGGGGGGTGCTATTCTAAGGGGTTAAGATTTTTGTTTTGCCAATGATTATGCAAATCTGTAAGATATCTCCAAAGATAAACTGAATTTTTCTTTTGAATTTTCAAATGGGGAGAAATGTTATAAAATAGAAGCTTCATTCAACTAACTGGAAATTAATGTATCAAAAAAAGTTTGATTTTAAGTTCAATATTGGATCCATATAAAAATATTAAGGCTCATTGGTAAAGATACTGATAAATTTTCACAGAAGACAGACACATGGTTTTATCTAGTATGTTGTTTTTCCTGCTTGTTTAACTTGGTTTCACAATGTTTGAAAACTGATCAGCCAAAAAACTTGTCAAATCTGAAGGGAACCTCCAATCATGGAAGAACACACTCTAGGTCTCAAGGTTATATCCTGCCTTCTCTGGAACCCAGAAGACACAACACTATTTGGACCTACAGAAGATGCGATTAAATGTAAGTGCTCATAAGGATTTAGGGGGAGCTCATGCTTTCAGAGTGGTGGCATGGGTTTGCACCTATCAAGAGCTCCCCCTTATAAAATTGAAGTTGAACATGTGTTTCAAACTTTCCCACTTGGGATACAGAAAGAAAAGCAGGGTCCAAACAAATTCTCTTCAAAAGGCTGCAATCTTGCTTGCTTCTCGAACACCACTCAAATATGCCCCTGTAACAGTTTGTGGAAAATGCCTGTTTGTCGCCTATTAAAAAAAAAAAAAAAATTCATGCATGAGTTCAAATTATGTAGAGTTCAATATAAGCTTATTCTTTCTCTTATCTTCCTAAAGTGAGACTACTATCCCAGTCTGTGTGCTCACAATAACACTTCTCACCCATCACAGCATCTGAACTTCTTTGGTTATCTTGCCATGTTTTGCCAAACTTGCTAATTCTACAATATTCTGTCCTGCCTGTGTGGCATTCATTAAAACATTAGGCATCTGTGTGAGGTACTGGATTGAAAACAATGAATACTGGTGGGGGGTAGCAACACAGGCCTTAGGGAAATGGGTTTTTAGTGGGTGAGTTATGATAATCATCAAAGGAAAGCTAGAACAGCCTAAATCCTCCTTAAATATACCTTACCCTAAAATAGCCATGTCTTGCAAATGGCTGACCATTGTCTGTGCAGCCATGTGCCCTTCCTGCAGCGGGCTCCTCAGAGGCCCAAGAGTAGTCAATCCATCTGGGTTTAAGATGACATTCTTTTATTCTTTTATAATTACCCAAAAATCACAGGAAAAAAACACCATCAACTGTTTTCTAAAATAAACAGGGAGACATGTAACCCTAAACTGTAATATAATAAATGTAATATTAGACTGCAAAATGGTTCCTCAAAGAAACCCAAGAAAACCTCAGCTGTTAGGGGCATGAGGAACCAGGGAGGCAGAGAGTAGTTTGAGAGGAAAACAGGATTGGTGTAAAGACTGGCAAAAGCCCCTCACAAGACCACTCTTTCAAGAGACCTTTATGTCACTTGGAAACTGGCATAACCTAAGAGGTTCCTGCTTCCACCACACAAACTAAATGTCCCAAGGCACTGATGTGGAGTCCAACCACTAGTTGATGAGCTTGCTGAAGCTGTCAAATCTAAGCTTAAAGTCAAGGATGGGGCACTTGGACACACAGCAGGTAGACTACAGCACACAGAATAAAAAGTCTGAGAAAACTCCAGGAAGGAGTCAAAAAACAAGTTTTAATAACCTTAGTTAAGAAACAAACTATGGAGCAAGAAGAGGGCACTGAGAACAAGAAAGCACCCAGTGAAATATAAGAGCCAATTTAATAGCTGGGAGATACCATCACACCCACACTCCCCTCCAAAATCCCCCAAAGCAAAAAAGAACAATAAAGAGAAATATCAGTTAATCCAGTTCCAGGACAGCAGATCTAATAGTAAAAGTAAAAACTGGAGAGAGAATGATCAGAAATAAAATGAGGATTGAAAGACAAAAGAGTTTCTAGATTATAAGAAATGAAAAAAAGACAGGACCAGAATCAGAACAGCAGCATTTTCAACAAATAAATCAGAGAAAAGCAGATCTTGGAGCAAAAGCCCAACACAGAGTGGTTTAAAGACTCAGCAGGCCCTACAGCAAGCCCCCAGACTGGAACCAGGAAAGACTGTGGGAGGGGGAGGTCAGAGGCTGAAGTAACAGGCCAGCTCAGATTGGACTGGAATCAGATGTGTGAAGGGGACAGGGACCAAAACAGGATAATGACCAAAGAAGCAACTGATGTTGGCCACAGACACCCTGGCTCAGCAGCCCACATTTGCATAGAAACATGCACCAATCTAACTGAAGTGGTGCAGATTAAATGTGTTGAATCTTTAATCTGACAGCTAGTCAATAAACATTTCTGTCTAATGTTAAATCAGAAGACAGCAATATAAACATAATTTTAAGATAGGAAGGAAAGTCCTGGAAAAATGGCTAGAAGAGTTTAAAATGACTGCCTCTGGGAGTTTGAGAAGGCTTCCATTTGTTGTCTTTAAGATGCTGAACAGTATTTGACATAATAGTCTTTAAACTCTGGTTGGCTATTGTTTTAATTCTAATAAAAATCAAAATATAACTGAATTTTGAATTGAGACACACACCTCACCCGCAAAAAAGACAGTTCCTTGTATATCTTCAGCAATGATATCATAGGCCTCACCACTTCCAAAGGTCTTCACAAAACTGTATGCCATCTGGATCCATGGCTCTGTGCTCCACCGAGTGACAAAATACTTTGTGGGCTCTGGGACCTCCTATGTCCAACAGAAAGGAATCATAAAACAGGATCAAGGAAGAACTTGGGCACGGTGTACCCCCAATTATAAAAGGACATTTCTCCCTCAGGGTGTGGCCTGCCTTCATCCTCTAGCACTATGAACATCCATGTTCCTCCTACCCCATAAACGTGTTCCCTGCCCAGCCACACACAACTCCCTTGCTTCCACACTTCACTCTGCCAGAGACGACATCTGCCTACCTTCTGGGTGCTATCACCAGTGGTCAAGAGTTCAAGTCACCCTGGGCCAATGCTTGGCACATGTGGGGAGCCACAATGAGTTACCACGCCTTCCAGTCAAGACGCACCACGGGGATCTGAAAGATCCTTACCCCCGCTCGCTCAGATAGCAAGGCCAGTCTTCTGAGTCGGCATACTCTGGGATTGAGCTACACTCACCTATTCTCTTGTAATCCTACCCCTTCCCCCTGTTTGGGATAGAATATTCCATGGAAACTCCCTTCTCTTGCTCTGCCTTTGGGTGTGGCCTTTTTAGATGTCAGTTAATCTGTTGACAGCAGACATGACTCTAGATTCAACCTTCTGAAACCTGACCCCTTGCCTCATTTGAATGGCTTCTCTCCAGTAAAAGGGTTCAGCGCCCTCTCTGTCCAGGGACCCCTGAGGTCAAAGGAGGTGTCACAGGACCCAAGGAAAAAGGTATTTCTGTCTCTTGTGTGATTATTTGGACAGTGTGACTATTTGGAAACTGGGTCTTTAATGAGAAGTTAAAATGAGGTTGTTGTTGTGGGCCTAATCCAGTGTAACTGGTGTATGTCCTTATAAAAGGGGGAGATGACAACACATACTACAGAGGGAAGAGCACAACAGGACCCAGCGAACGGATGGCCATCAGCAAGCCTCGGAAAAAGGAATCTAAAGCCCAAGTCTGCTGTCACCTTGATCTTGGATTTCCAGTCTCCAGAACTGTACAAGTAACTTTCTGTTGCTAAGCCACGGTCCTGTGATTTCCT